TATTGAAGATTTTTGTGTCTATGTTCATCATGGATATTGGCCTGAAGTGTTCTTTTCTTGCTGACTCTCTGCCAGGTTTTGGTATCAGGATGATGTTGGTATCACAAAATGATTTGGGAAGGATTCCCTCTTTTTGGATTGTTTGGAATAGTTTCAGAAGGAATGGTACCAGCTCCTCTTTGTATGTCTGGTAGAATTCAGCTGTGAAGCCATCTGGACCTGGGCCTTTTTTGGGTGGTAGCCTCTTAATTGCTACCTTCACTTCAGCCCTTGTTATTGATCTATTCAGGGTTTTGACTTCTTCCTGGTTTAGGCTTTGGAGGATGCAAGTGTCTAGGAATTTATCTATTTCTTCCAGGTTTACTAGTTTATGTGCATAGAGTTTTTTGTCATAATCTCTGATGATGGTTTGTATTTCTGTGGAATCTGTGGTGATATCCCCTTTATCATTTTTTATTATATCTATTTGATTCTTCTCCCTTTCCTTTTTTATTAATCTGGCTACTGGTCTATTTTGTTGATCTTTTCGAAAAACCAGCTCCCGGATTTATTGATTTTTTTGAAGGGTTTTTTGTGTCTCTATCTCCTTCATTTCTGCTCTGATCTTAGTTATTTCTTGTCTTTCACTAGATTTTGCGTTTTTTGATCTTGCTCCTCTAGCTCTTTCAATTTTGATGACGGGGTGTCGATTTTAGATCTTTCCTTGCTTCTCATGTGGGCATTTACTGCTATATATATTCCTCTAGACACTGCTTTAAATGTGCCCCAGAGATTCTGGTACATTGTGTCTTCATTCTTGTTGGTTGCGAAGAACATCTTTATTTCTGCCTTCATTTCATCATTAATCCAGTCAACATTCAAGAGCCAGTTGTTCAGTTTTCATGAAGCTGTGCAGTTCTGAGTTAGTTTCTGAATTCTGAGTTCTAACTTGATTGAGAGACTGTTTGTTATGATTTCTGTTCTTTTGCATTTGCTGAGGAGTGATTTACTTTGAATTATGTGGTCAATTTTAGAGCAGGTGTGATGTAATGCTGAGAAGAATGTGTATTCTGTGGATTTGGGGTGGAGAGTTCTGTAAATGTCTATTAGGTTTGCTTGGTCCAGGTCTGAATTCAAGTCCTGGATATCCTTGCTAATTTTCTGTCTCATTGATCTGTGTAATATTGACAATGGGGTGTTGAAGTCTCCCACTATGATTGTGTGGGAGTCTAAGTCTCTTTGTAAGTCATTAAGAACTTGCTTTATGTATCTGGGTGCTCCTGTATTGGGTGCGTATATATTTAGGATCATTAGCCCTTCTTGTTGCATTGATCCTTTTACCATCATGGAATGTCCTTCGTGGTGTCTTTTGATCTTTGTTGGTTTGAAGTCTTTTTTATCAGAGATGAGAATTGCAACTCCTGCTTTTTTCCCACTTACATCGTTTTTAAAAGTCTTTATTTAGCTCTGCTCTGGTGTTTGTTATTTCTTTTCTGCTAATTTTGCATGTGGTTTGTTGCTTTTCTAGTTTGTTCCTTAAGAGTCATCATCATATTGTTAATTTGTAACGTTTCTACTCCTTTTAGGCAGGCATTTATTGCTGTAAACTTCCCCTTTGGCCTGTTTAACTGTATCACACAGGTTTGGATATGTTGTGTTTCCATTTTCATTTGTTTCAACAAACTTGATTTCCATCTGAATTTTTCTGTTCACTCAATGTTTATTCAGGAGCATGTTGTTAGTTTCCGTGTATTTGTCTAGTTGCCAAAGTTTTCTTGGTGTACCTGTCTAGTTTTATTCCATTGTGGCCAAAGAAGATATTTAATATAATTTCAATTTTTGAAAATTTGTTGAGACTTGTTTTGTGGCTTAACATAGGCTCTCTCCCGGAAAATGTCCTTGTGTTCATGAAAAGAAGGTATATTCTGTAGTGTTAGATAGAATGCTCTGTAAGTATCTGTAAGCTTTATTTGGTCTAAAGTTCAATTTAAATACAATGTTTCTTTCTTGACTTTCTGTGTAGATGATCTGTCTAATGTTGAGGTTTAGATGTTGAAGTCCCCACTATTCTTGGAATCTATCTCTCTTATTAAATGTACTCATGTTACAGGCTGCTCTTTGTTAGAAAAGAAAATGATTTCAGGGCTGCGTTTCATTACAAGAAAATCTTACTGAGGACTTCTGTACCCTCACTATCTGCCTAAATAATTTCTTCTTAGCTCCTATGTCACTGCCAGACTCTGAGCCACAATGCGGTGACTCAGAGAGCCTGGGACTGTGCAGAATGCATTTTAGTGGAAACAGCTGAGTGGCAGTGGCGATGTCCAGTTTCCAGGAGCAGCAGTGGCATCTGTCCTAGCCTCAGGGTCCAGTGTCCAGCACTAGGATGTCAGAGGTGTGAGCAGTGGCATCTGTGCTCAGCAGCAGGGGCAATTGTTCCTCGGAGGGACCTGATCCTGGGTGGGCTGTGGATTCTGTTCCTGGCTGTGTGATTTCCAGCCCTGTTCTGTGGCCTTCCCTACAATAAAATTAGCCCCCAATACCAGATATACCACTTTATGTGTACATTAGAGAAGTTTGGTTTCCATAGTTTGCTCCAAGAAGTGAGTGAGAAATCAGTATGTGGAGCAGTGTCAGAGAGCAGCATTCAGGCGTTGTTCTCTGTGTGAGAGCCACATCCTGAATTGTCTATCTGGCCTCTACCCCATGGTGGAGAGGTCAACAGGGAATATCACATCTCACAATTGATTATATACATCCTGCCTTTTATTTCTGAGAGAAAAATCTTCTTTTAAACAAGGTTTGAAAACCCACCCTATCCACCCACCCTGGGCACTCTGATCTCTGATTTCAATGGTTCCCAATCTGGACCCAACAGGGAGGGCAGGGGCTTAGAAAATAATCAGGCCACTTTCCAGAACACCTGTCTCAGAGTAAATGCACAACACCAAGCCATCACTTATATAACAAGCACTACAGGCAGGCTGATGCTCAGACATGTGGGATCCTGGTGTTCTTGATCTGGAGACCAGAAACACAGGCCCAGTCTTGTCAAAAATCCAGAATCTCGTTCAACCCTGGACTTCTTGGATCTCAGCACCATGTCCAGGTGATTCCTGTGCACATGGGCGGTCCTTGCCTCAGTGTCCTCTAGGTGTGGGGTCAGAACTGTGCAGTCTGCTCTCAGTATGGTCTGATCAGATCCCTTAGAACTGGAGGTCCAGGGTTCAGTCTCTGCACTCATTCTCTTCTACAGCCAGTCACTTCCTTGGTGCCCTCATCCATGCTTGAGGTTATAAGTATTGTTTATATGGTGTGACCTCCTAAATCTATGTCTCCAGCCCCGTCTATTTCTCATTTCCCCTAAACTCTGGAGTTGTCTGTCCAACTGCCACCCCGGCTCCCTCACCTGTATTCCTAGTAGACATCTCCTCCACTGAGTGCCTGGGATGTTCCCTCCTCAGTATGCTCCTGCCAGAGTCTCTCCATTTCCACAGCAGCCCCACCCTTCCTTCTACTCACTAATTTTACAACTGTGGGTGTCCTTGATTCGACTTTCTCACACCACAGATACAATCCATTGGCAAATGCTGTGAGTCCATGTTAAAATGCATCCAGAATCCCCTCATGTCCCACTATTTCCCTGCTCACACCCCGATCAAGGTAGCAACATCTCCAGCCTGGAATACTGTACTCGCTTCTCACTGTTTTCCCTTCTGCCTCCCTCACCCCTTGCCTCTCAATTCTGTTCTCAGCACAGCAGTCAGAGCTCCTTTTAAAAGAGTTGTACCACATCTCTTGTCTGCTCAAAACTGTCTGCTACCTCCCCATCTTAGTCAGAACAAAGGTCAGATGCTTCTTCACACCCTCCAGGCCCACCTGCCCTGGCTGTACCTTTGACTTCACGTCAGATTCTCTCTCTCCAGCCCTCCTGGGCTCCTTCCTCTCCTGGGAACACAGACACCTTCCTGCCCTAGTGCATTTGTACTGGAGGTTCCCCGCCTGGAAAGAACTTCTTCAGACATCCTCGTGGACACTCCTCATGTCCCTCAATTCTTTCCTCAAAGGTCACCTTTGCAATGTGGTGCAGCCTGACCCCCCCAACACAACAGCCACCTTCCCTGTCCCCACTGCCCACACCCTGGATCACCTGCCTCAGAGCAAGTCCCACCTTCCAGCACTTTCCTTCCTTGCTCTGGTGATAGTGTATCTATCGTCTGCCTCTTCCCGCTGGAACACATGCTCCACAAGGTTAGAGATTTTTCTGATTTTACTTCAGTGATGTTCCGCAGATGCAGAACCACTCTGTCCTGTGTCTGGCCGACAACGAAGGTCACCGTAGAGCATCTCCTATTCTAAAGGCAGTATCCTTAGTAACACAGACTCAGGCCAAGTGCTGTTTCTTGGCAGCTACAGCACAAGGGCCCCTCACACTGACATCGAGGTTTCCTGTGCTTTTCTCAGCAGGGCTGCTGGTGTGTCCTCCCTCCCCCAATCCTCCCTGCAAACCAACTCCCAACCCACACACACCCCTGCACACTGCAGCACACAATCACAGTTCTCTCTTCAGGAAAGAATAGTCCTTGATGATGGGTCCAATTTCACAAACAAATGTCAGTCTAAATTAGACTCTGCTTTATAGATTCATGAGTTGGAATTGGAGCCAGCACCATGATCACTGGAACCAGGGCAGGAAGAGAGGGCAGGAGAACAGAGCAGAAGAGGAGCCCTGGAAGGAGGGCAGGAGCTGAATCGGTCTGAAAATTTGTCTCAGAAACACAGAGACTCCTGTGTGCAGGGGCTACTCTGGGCAATGTGTGAGCCTTTGTGGTCACAGCTCCCGATGGACAAGTTTCCACTGAAGGGACAAGGACAATGGAGCAGTGAAGCTGACCCAGCTGAGGACTGACCACATAAATCCCATGATGGACTCAACAGCAACTGGGCAGAGGCCCGTCCACACTCGGCTCCTCACAGCCTTCTCCATCCCCACCTGCAACAGACTCAGCACAGAAAACATGTGGATTCTGGAAGGTTCTCAGGTCTTTATTTCCTCTCTCAGATTTTAGGAATTGACTTGTTTAATTAACCAATCAACCTCTCATGGGAAATATTTGAGAAAACACATTTATGTTCAGATTCTTATTTTCAGTAGGGAAGGAAGCAGTTACAGCTCAGTGCACCATGAAATTGAGACAGAGATGAAGACGCTCAGCCCCACCTCACTGGAACAGGAAAGATGACTGGGGAGGGAACACAGGTCAGTGTGGGGACAGGGGTCATGGTGGACATGGGGTGGGCTGTCTCTCCACCTCCTCACATTGTGCTAACAGGGACACAGACACATTCAGATGCCTTTGCAGAAAGAGATGCCAGAGGCTCTTGACGTCACAAAGGGGAGGAGTGAAGAAATCCTGCATCTCAGTCCCACACAAGGCAGCTGTCTCAGACTACAGAAAACAATAGTCATGAACAAATTCCGGTCAGTCATGGTAAGTGATGACACTCTGAACAGCCCACCAGACACTTGAAATGTCCCAATCAAAGAATCTCCATTACCCAGTCCTGTCCCATCTGCCCCTACTTCCACCCACTAGAGACCCCCAGGGTCTCACCTTTACAAGCCCTGAGAGACACATCAGAGCCCTGGGCACTGTCACTGCCTGGGGTAGAACAAAAACAGGACCTGGTCAGAGCCCATAGGAGATGTGGGCCAGGAGGAATTATGGGGTGGGTGAGTTCCTCCACACTCCCGCCCCCACCACTTATATGCAGCCTGAGAATAGCTCCCTCCTTTTCCACCTGTGGGAAGAAAATGTCCTGTGAAGGGCAGGGAGGAGGCAGGGCCATGAGATTTTAGAGGACCCTCCTAGTCTTGGACGCAAGAGATATTTCTAGAACTGTGACTACACACCCAGGGCAGGATCAGGAAACACCAAGAAAGCAGGTGTGGGTCCTGGACCAACCAACCTCCTAAGGTCTGCCCTTAGCAGGGACCTTCCCCTGACTCGTGAATGCTGGGATCAGGTTCCCAACACCACAATCATCAAGGTGATACATCTGTCCTTCATTGTCAAGTGTGCTTCCAAAAAGAATAAGTGCTGGCACACAGGGCCCCAGGCTGGATCGGCACATGTGTGGATGGTGCTTCCCAGTAATGAGCGGGGGAACACTTCTACCTGGGGTTTGAAATACCCAGTGTGACAAGAAAACCCAGACCCCACTCCTCACCCCTTCCCTACCTGAGCTCTTCCTCCTCCACATCACAGCAGTGACCACAGCTCCAGTGACCACAGCTGCTAGGACAGCCAGGCCAGCAATGATGCCCATGATGGGGATGGTGGGCTGGGAAGATGGCTCTGGGAAAGGAGAGGAAGGTGAGGGGCCCTGACCCCAGACCTCAGCCCTGACCCAGCTGAAGGCTCCAGAAGGGCTCCTGCTTTCCCTGAGAAGAGATGTGAACCCCCAATCCTCTCCTTACCCCATCTCCCTCCTTACCCCATCTCAGGCTGAGGGGCTCCAGCAGCCCCTCGTGCTGCACATGGCACGTGTATCTCTGCTCTTCTCCAGAAGGCACCACCACAGCCGCCCACTTCTGAAAGGTTCCGTCCCCTGCTGGTCTGGTCTCCACAAGCTCTGTGTCCTGAGTTTGGTCCTCCCCATCCCGCTGCCAGGTCAGTGTAACCTCTGCAGGGTAGAAGCCCAGGGCCCAGCACCTCAGGGTGACCTCTTGGTTAGAGATGGGGTGGTGGGTCACGTGTGTCTTTGGGGGTTCTGATGGGAAAAGTCAGAAAATTTAAGCAATTTGCATCTCTCATGGGACACCTCAGCATCATCCATGGGACCATCCTGAGAATAGAGAGGACACCTGGGATGGGGAAGGGAGCACAGAACCCAGACACCAGGCTGGACACAGCACCTGCAATAATCTATTCTTTGAATTTCAAATTCTAGTCTCTGAGGGAAGAACAGGGACTTCTGGTCCTGACCTGACTGGAGGCTGAGGGACTGAGAAAAGCTGGAATCTGACCTTCAAACACATTTGAGTGTGAGGCAGAGAACAAGGCCTGAGAGAAAAAGTCAGGTGCCCACGGCGGCTGCAGGGGTCAAAGCGGACCCCTGATCAGTATTCCAGGAACCGTCATCCCCTCCATTTCCTCAGAGACGTCATCCCTTAATTGTCCTAGAGAGCAGAGGGGCCCTCAGAGGAAACTCAGGAAAACACGCCATTCTCCATTCAAGGGAGGGCGATATTCTAGCGCGGATCCCGTTTTCCTCCCCTCCTCCTGGGAGGCCATCCCGAGAGATCTATAGGAGATGGGGACGGCTCCCCAATGCCCATGGTACCTGCGCGCTGCAGCGTCTCCTTCCCGTTCTCCAAGTATCTTTTGAGCATCTCCACGCACTCTCCCTCCAGCTGTGCCCTCAACTGCTCTGCATACTTCTCCGCCTCCAACTTGCGCTGGGTGAACTCAGCCACCGTGTCCGCGGCTGTCCAGGAGCGCAGGTCCTCGTTCAGGGCGACGTGATCCTTGCCGTCGTAGGCTATGCGGCAGTACCCGAGAAGGAGGTGCCCATCGGGCCACAGGTCGCAGCCAAACAACACCTGGAGGGTGTGAGACCCTGGCCCCGCCATTGCGGTCAGCCCCGCCCCCCCAGCCCACCCAGCCCCGCGGGGATTTGGGCCTAAACTGAAGATGAAACTGGGTAAAGGCACCTTGGGGCCCTCTCGGGTCCAGGGTACGGACGGGTTCTGTAGCCTCGGGGTGGATCTTGGGCCCAGAGACTCGGTGGGACCCGGGCCGTCCGTGGAGGATGGGGAGGGGTCTTGATCTGCGCTCCGGGCCGGGGTCACTCACCGGCCTCGCTCTGGTTGTAGTAGCCGCGTATGTCCCGCAGGCTCACTCGGCAAGCCTGTGCGCAGGCCTCTGTTCTCCGTGTCAACAGGTCCCAATACTCCGGCCCCTCCTGCTCCGCCCACGGCGCCCGCGGCTCAGTCTTCGGAATCTCGGCGTCGCTGTCGAACCGCAGGAACTGAGTGTCGTCCACGTAGCCCACTGAGAAGTACCGGGGCTCCCCGCCGCCGGGCCGGGACACAGTGGTGCTGAAATACCTCAGGGAGTGGGAGCCTGGGGACGAGGAGGGGCTGAGACCGCCGACCCTCCTCCCGGCGCGGATCCCCGGGTCCTGCGCCCCCTCCCGACGGGCCCCTCGCTCCTCCCGACCCCGAACTCACTCGGCCAGGTCTCAGTCAGGGCCAGAGCCCCCGAAAGCAGCAGAAGGCGGCTTCGGGGCTCCATGACCCCAGCCTCGGTGTCTGGGGAGAATCCGAGTCCGGGCAGGTGACTGGGGGCCTCAGAACCGGGACCTCGGCGACGCCGATTGGCTTCTCTAGAAACCAATGGGCGGGGGAACCAGGGATAAGCCTAGGGTATCCAGGAAGAAGGATCTGACAGGTTGGGAGAAGTGAAACTCGGGGAAGTGGGGAATCCCCAACGCGGCACTTCGCCAGTGCAGACACGCCCCTCGGTGCCTGAGACCCCGAGAGTCACGCCCAGGAACTAGGACTTGGTCCTGATCCCTCTTCTCCTACACCAAGCCTCTTTCTCACACTGTCTTCCTAAGTCCTGGCCAAGGATCTGTCTGTGGAAACCAGAGAGAGACCCCCAGGCTGCGCCCAGCCTTTTCCCCTTCACTTCTGGTCCTGGAATCCCCGTTCCTGAACTGGACTCCCTGCCTCCCACTCCTTACTTCTCCCCTTGGACTCTTGTACACGGAGACTCACCACGGGGAAGTTGATGTCAGAGAGTGAGCTCGCCCTGGAATAGAGGTGTAGAGACAGGGGTTTTCTCTCTACACCTGGTGAAGTTTTGTCTGAATGCACCAGATAGAGACTCTCATAGAGACCAGTTTCCTTTTTATTAATACAGTAGGTAGCACAATATTGTAATCCCTGAATGATTAGGATTCCAATCTGTCAAAGACCTGGGTCAAAACAGCATCACAATTAAACTCTCAAAGCTCCTAAGTTTTACTTTCCCAGTCTATGGATCTGTGACTCCAGATTGTTGCATTTAAAATTATTTTCATTCCCTAGCTGGAGTTTTCCTATGAGTCCAGAGCACCTCCTGAATATGAAGAAGCAGGTTTGTTACTGTGTATTGAACCGGGAGCCTGTAGTCATCACTCAGAGTTGCGAGAGCTCCATGCAGTCCCAATGCTCTTCACCAGCGCTCAAGCACTGCCTGCTTTCGTGAGCTATGCACATGTAAGCACTGTGCATATTCTATTCAGACACTTGGAATTTTTGTACCCTTTTTTTTTTTTAAATCACAGGGAAGCCATTAGGAAGTATTTAATACATTTTAGGCAGTCCCACAAAATGTATTAAATACTGGAAGCAAAGAGCCCCCTGCTAGGCTCTTCCACTGCTTTAGAATTCTTTCCCCTGCTCCTTTTCCTCACCTCCTGCTTCTGCAGCCCTTCTCTCTGCCCCTCTCATCCCTCACACCCTCCTGTCCCCTCAGTTCCCATTGCCCAGTCACTCTCAAATTGTGGCACTGTAGAGGACAGTTTCTTTTCCCTAAAAACTTTCTTTCTGTCCCTTTCTATTTAATCCTTGCCTCCCACCCTCACCCCTTCCCTTTACTCAACAACTGCCCTGCTTTCTGCGACTGCAAGAGTGAAATTTCTAGAATTTCATGGACATACAATCATGTGCAGTCCTTTGTTTGGTCTCCCTTAGCGTAACAATGTTTGAGATGATGACATTCATTCCTTTTTTGTTGCTGAGTAGCTGCCCAGTATTGCTGGAATCCCAGTTTACTCATCTGTTTCTCTAGTCTCCAGTTGATAGACATGTGGATTACTCCAGTTAGGGTGTGTTATTAATGAAGCCACTATAAGTAACTGTTCACAAGTGTGGCCTTACACTTTTATTTCTTTTGGATAAATACATATTTGTGGAATTGCTGTGTCATGTGGTAATGGATGAGTAGCTGTATAAGAAATTGCCAAACCGCTTTACAAATTGACTGCAACATTTTTTGCATTTGAACCAGCAATATCAGACATTCCTGTTTTTTCCATATTCTTACTATTTAGACTTATCATATGTCTTTTTAACGTTGCCTATTCTAGGTGTTCTGGGGTGGTTTCTCACTGTGGTTTTAACTTGACTAGTGTTGTTTGCTCTCTTTTCATGTTCATCTAAGTCACTTATTACATATATTTTATGAACTATTTGGTGAATTCAGTAATTCAGAGATTTTTTTCTGAATTCCCTAGTGTTTTTTACATATACAGTGAAGCTGGTGACAAAGAAAGACATTTATTTCTTCCTTTTCATCTTTTTTCTTTTAAAATTATTTGTATGTAATAGAGATGAGGTCTCACTATCAGGCTTGTCTCAAACTCCTGAACTCAAGTGATCAGCTTTCCAAAATGCAGGGATTACAGGCATGAGCCACCATGCCTGGTCCTCCTATTGGTGTTTTATTTCATTGACTTGCCATGTTGCACTGGTTAGGATTCCTGTTACGTGTTTAAACAAGAATGACGAGAGCTCACGTGTTTGTTTACAAGGAACTTAAACAAATTTACAAGAAAAAACCCAGCCCCATAAAAAAGTGGGCAGAGGATATGAACAGACCCTTCTCAGAAAACATTTACATAGCCAGGAAACATATGAAAAAAAGTTCAATATAACTGATCATTACAGAAATGCAAATCAAAATCACAATGACATGTCATCTCTTGTCAGTCAGAATGGCAATTATTAAAAAGTCAAGAAAAGATAGATGCTGGCAAGGCTGTGGAGCAATGGGAACACTTTTGCACTGTTGGTGGAAATGTAAACTAGTTCAACCATTGTGGAGGACAGTGTGGCCATTCCTCAAAGATCTAGGACCAGAAATACCATTTGACTCAGCAATCCTATTCCTGGGCATATACCTGAAGGAATATAAATCATTCTACTATAAAGACACATGCACATGTATGTTTACTGCAGTACTATTTACAATAGCAAAGACAGGAAACCAAACCAAATGCCCAGCAATGATAGACTGGATTAAGATAATGCAGTACGTATACACCATGGAAAACTGCACAGCCATGAAAAGGAATTAGTTCATGTCCTTTTCAGGGACATGGATGAAGCTGCAAGCCATCATCCTCAGGAAACTAACATAGGAACAGAAAACCAAACACCGCATGTTCTCACTTCTAAGTGGGAGCTGAACAATGAGAATACATGGACACAGGGAGGGGGACATCACATTCCAGGGCCTGTTGGGGTGTAGGGATTGAGGGGAGGGAACTTAGAGAATGGGTCAATAGGTGCAGCAAACCACCATGGTAGACTATGTAACAAACCTGCAGGTTCTGCATGTGTCCTGGAACTCAAAGTAAAATAAAATAAATTAAATAAAAAAAGAAAGTGCATGTCGTATATGTACATATATGTTCACTGCAGCACTATTCACAATAGCAAAGACCTGGAATCAACCTAAATGTTCATCAGTAGTAGGCCGGATAAAGAAAATGTGACTGCCTCCAGCACTTTAGGAGGCCAAAGTGGGCAGATCATGAGGTCAAGTGAGGGAGACAACCCTGGTCAACATAGTGAAACACCATCTCTACTAACAATACAAAAATTAGCTGGGCGTGGTGGTGTATGCCTCTAGTCCCAGCTACTTGGGAGGCTGAGGCAGGAGAATCGCTAGAACTCAGCAGGCAGAAGTTGCAGTGAGCTGAGATCATGCCACTGCACTCCAGCCTGGAGACAAAGTGAGACTCCATCTCAAAAAAAGAAGTGAGAAATATACACCATAGAATACTATGCAACCATGAAAAAGAATGAGATCATGCCCTTTGCAGGATCATGGATGGACTTGGAGGCCATTTTCCTTAGCAAACTAATGCAGGAACAGAAAACCAAATACCACACGTTCTTACTTATTAGTGGGAGCTAAATGATGAGAAAGGATAGACACGTAGAGAGGAACAGCACACACTGGGGTCTACTTGAGGGTGGAGGAAGGGAGGAGGGAGAGGATCAGGAAAAAGAGCTAATGGGTACTCAGGCTTAATACTTGGGTGGGTAATAATGGGCACAGAAATAATCTGTACAACAAAACCCCATGATACAAGTTTACCTAAATAACAAACCTGCACATGTACCCCTTAACTGAAAATAAAAGTTACAAAAAAAAAAAAAAAAAAAAAAAAAAGAAAAGAAAGTGCATATCTGGAAACTACATATAGTTTGGTTCTGTGGGTTTTTTAAATTTTTTATTTTATTATCTTTTTATTGGATTTTAGGTTTTGGGATACATGTGAAGAACATGCAAGATAGTTGCATAGGTACACATGTGGCAGTGTGATTTGCTGCCTTCCTCCCCTTCACCTATATCTGGCATTTCTCCCCATGCTCTCTCTCCCCAACTCCCCAGCCCCACTGTCCCTCCCTTATTTCCCCAACAGACCCCAGTGTGTAGTGCTCCCCTCCCTGTGTCCATGTGTTCTCACTGTTCAACACCCACCTATGAGTGAGAACATGTGGTATTTCATTTTCTGTTCTTGTGTCAGTTTGCTGAGAATGATGGTTTCCAGGTTCATACATGTCCCTACAAAGGACATGAACTCATCATTTTTGATGGCTGCATAGTATTCCACATTGTATATGTGCCACATTTTCCCTGTCCAGTCTATCATAGATGGGCATTTGGGTTGGTTCCAGGTCTTTGCTATTGTAAACAGTGCTGCAATGAACATTCGTGTGCATGTGTCCTTATAGTAGAATGATTTATAATCCTTTCAATATATACCCAGTAATGGGATTGCTGGGTCAAATGGAATTTCTATTTCTAGGTCCTTGAGGAATCGCCACACTGTCTTCCACAATGGTTGAACTAATTTACACTCCCACCAACAGTGTAAAAGTGTTCCTATTTCTCCACATCCTCTCCAGCATCTGTTGTCTCCAGATTTTTTAATGATTGCCACCTGACAAAAACATGCAATGGGGAAAGGATTTCCTGTTATATAAATGGTGTTGGGAAAACTGGCTAGCTATGTGCAGAAAGCAGAAACTGGACCCCTTCCTGACACCTTACACTAAAATTAACTCCCGATGGATTAAAGACTTAAACATAAGACCTAACACCATCAAAACCCTAGAAGAAAATCTAGGCAAAACCATTCAGGACATAGGAGTAGGCAAGGACTTCATGACCAAAACACCAAAAGCATTGGCAACAAAAGCCAAAATAGACAAATGGGACTTAAACTTCACAGCTTCTGCACGGCAAAAGAAACAATCATTAGAGTGAATTGGCAACCAACAGAATGGAAAAAAATGTTTGCAGTTTACCTATCTGACAAAGGGCTGATATCCAGAATTTACAAAGAACTAAAACAGATTTACAAAAAAAAAAAAAAAAACAAGCCCATTCAAAAGTGGGCAAAGGACATGAGCAGATACTTTACAAAAGAAGACATACATGAGGCCAAAAAACATATGAAAAAATGCTCATTATCACTGGTCATTAGAGAAATGCAAATCAAAACTACATTGAGATACCATCTCACACCAGTTAGAATGGTTCTGTGTTTTTTTTAAACCAAGTCACACAATTGCTGCTCTTCATTGGAATGCTGATTCATGTAGGTTTCTGTCATTATCGATGTGATAAGTGTTAGGTCTACCATGTTATTTTCCCAGTTTTGGTTTCTCTGTTTCTCCTGTCCTGACCAATGACTTCTTATTAGAAACCAACAAACGAAAGTAGAATAACATTTTTAAAGTGCTGCAAGAATAAAAGGTCAACTAAGAATTCTATATCCAGCATAGATGTTCTTTAAAGAAAGGCAAAATAAGAAGATATTTCAGGTAAAAGAAAATTGAGAAAATTTGTCACCAGCAGATCTGCACAGTAACAATTGGTAAAGAAAATTCCTCAGGCTAGAGGCAAATGATACCAGGTGGAAAATGGGATAATCAGAAAAGATGAAGATGATAAAAAATGGTAAATATTGAGCTAAGTGCAAAAGGCTATCTTGCTCCCCTCATTTACGCTTCCTTTATATACATAGAACTGTTTAAAGATAAGAAAAAGTAAAAAGTTCTTTTTGTGGGACTTATAACCTATATAGATATATTACATATAATATCTATATTATAAAAGATGAACATTTTATAGAGGATAAATGGTTGCAAGATTTCTATATTTATGGGTACTAGTACATTATTAACTGAAAGTGAACTATAAAATGTTAAGAATGAGTTAAATTCTGAAGGAAATTGAGACACAAAAAAAAATTTAAAAGATAAACAAATCTCAGAGATGGTGTTTTTGAAAAAAAAAATCTTAGCCAGTCTTAAGTCTCATCATTCTATGATTTCAGAACTATTATGAATACAAAGGTAATCAAACAACAGTCCTGCCCAGAAAGAGGAGTTATCCCTGAATATGGTGGCCCTGGAACAGCTGGCCCTCCCTGCTGGACCTCCTCCACGTGGCACTTTCTGCAGTGACTCCATTGCCCTGTTATTCCACTCTACCCAGTAACCTGACCCAAGAGACAAGGGGTGTCTGCTGCTGTGTCCACACTTGGAGGAAGAAATCTTGATGGAGTCAGTACAGGATGAGCCAAGCATGACAGCTCATGCCTGTAATCCCAGCAATTCAGGACACTAAGGCAAAAGGATCACTTAAGAGCAGGAGTTGGAGACCAGCTTGGAAAACATATGAGACCTTCATCTCTAAAAAATAAAATAAGTACCCTTAGGCGTGGGCATGGGCACTTGTATTTCCAGGTATTGGGGAGGCCGAGGTGGGAAGATCCCTTGAGCTCATGAATTCAAGGCTGCAGTGAGCTATGATTGCACCACTGGACTCCAGCCCAGTCACAGAGGTACATCTTGACTCTAAAAAATACATTGTAACCCTTTGCTCACTATGGGTTATTTTAGTTATTATTTATTCGATGTATATTTTGATTTTATTTTACTGGCAGCACAATAAACTAGGACATGCTGAAACTAGAAATCACATCCACTTTCCAGTGTTAAAAAGCCTAGTCCAGGGAGGTAAGGAGACAGTCCTCACTGGCTTTGAGGATTCAAGGAGAACGAGAAGGGCTGGGCAGGAAGGTTTTTACTTGGAACCTGGAAGATGAGCAATGACATCCCTCTCTTCACCTTAAAGCTCATCCTGGACATCCACCTCCTCGGAGCAGAAGCAGCGCAGCAGCCCCACCTGGTGGTTCATGCGCTTCCTTTTGCAAATCACGCACAGTCCTGAGATCCACCTCTCCTTTGCACTAGGGATTTCTTCACCGGATACCAGGTTGAATCGACTTTCCTGTGAAGCAAAAGAAGCGTGAGGTTGCTGGGGGAGGAATGGTGTCATGTCCACCTTTGGCGAGATCCATGTCACGTGTTCAGGGGAAGGGCCAGGCCTTACTCCCCCATGCAGAGGGGAGGCTCTGGCCGTGAAGGCGCCTGTGGAGAGGTGAGGACCAACTCCCTCTACACTGACGGCCAAGAGCCTGCAGACAGCGGGGAAGGCTTCCCCTCAGCTGTGTCCTATCAGGTTCTTCCAGGAGTCAAGGAGTAAACCTGTATATTGCCTCTGGCAATGTGAGCTGCATGCACACTTAGAAGTGAGGTCACCCTGCTGGGGGTACTGGGGTTGCTGGTTGTTCTGGGTGCTCTGTGTCCAGAGAGGAAAATGCAGAGGAGGCTTTGTACAAAACAGGAAGCATACTTTATAAAGTACTTTTTCATTAGCCTTTGTGTCATATGATAAAATACAGTACTCCAAAAGGAAAAAAATCTGTCTAAAATTTGTGTCCTTTAATAAAATGTAAACACCCATTAACCACCAGGGATAGACGTTTAGGGGGCAAACCAGAAGGCCCATCATTTGCCCCAGCCCAGGGGTAAACTCTTTTCTCTTCTGGCTTTGATGATCATCACTTCTTTCTTCTATTTTATAATTTTATCATCTAAAATTATAATTTAGTTTTACCTTTAGAAATACGCTTTGTTCTCTTTTATTCCACAGATTCTCCTTGAAATGTATATTGTGTGGTAGAGCTTCCCATAGTGTGCATTTTGCTGATGGTCCCCAAGGCATAGGTGAATGTGTATTTCTATTACCTGTATTGCCTCTAAACTGGTAATTGGCTGTGGAGGTTTGCTTAGCTTCAGGCTTGATTTCTTTTTCACTTGGACTTGTTTGATGGTACTGGATTCTGCCATCAAGAGGAAGAACCAAACATTAGTTTTTTCTTGTATTGTGTTAATAATTGTCATTGCTATTCAATGGCTAAATCTGTTAATTTATGATGGGTTGCAAAAGAATTATTATAGTCTCAGTCTCTCATTACTTCTTCACTTCCTGATAATTTCTGAAATAAGAGATACCCTCCTCTTCTGTTTGTTTACTACTAGAAACTTGTTTTTTGGGAGTTTGTTTTTTGAGCCAAGCATCTACTCACCTATGACCTACCACTTGCACTCTCAGTTATAAACCAATAAAAATGAATGTATGTGTGTGCCAAAATACATAATAATATTATTCATACCAGCACGGTTTGTAAAATCTGGATACAAAACAATTGTCTATCAATAGTAAAGGAATGAGAAGTGTGAGCTATTATAAAGTGGAGTATTGGACAGCCATGGGAGTGAATAGGCTACAGCCACGCACGTCAAGACCATGAGACCCAGGGACAAGATGGTGACTACATAACGCCATTCAACTAGAGCTGGCAGAACTAATCTGTGTTAAGAATCAAGAGTGGACTTCTGCCAAGATGGCCTGATAGGAACAGCTCTGGTTTGCAGTTCCCAGCAAGAGCAAGCCAGAAGGCAAGTGATCCCCACATTTCTAACTGAGGTCAGGTTCATTTCAGTGGGGCTGGTTAGATAGTGGGTGCAGCCCAAGGAGGGCTACTGAGGCAGGGTGGGGTATCAACTCACCCAGGAAGCCAAGGGGTTGGAGAACTCCCTCTCCTAGTCAACGGAAGCCATTAGGGACTTTTTGGACACTCTAGTACTCTGGCTCATATACTGCACTTTTCCCACAGTCTTCACAACCTGCAGACCAGGAGATTCCTTCTGGATCCTACAACACCAGCTTCCTGGGTTTGCAGCACAAAACTGGGTGGCTGTCTTAGCCACAGCAGTTTTCTTTTTTTTTTCTCATACTCCCACGGCACCTGGAACTCCAGTTAGACAGAACCGCTCATTCCCCTGAAGAAAAGGGAGCTGAAGCCAGGGAGCCAAGTGATCTGGCTCAGTGGGTCCCACCCCCAGGAAGACCAGCAAGCTAAGATCCACTGGCCTGAAATCCTCACAGCCAGCACAGCAGTGTGAGCTCAACCTGGGACATGAGCTCCGTGGGGGGAAGGGGTGTCCCCCATTGCTGAGGCTCAGGTAGGTGGTTTTAACCTCGCCTGTGTAAACAACACCCCTGGGAAGTTTACATAGCAACTGGGCAGAGCCCACAGCAGCTCAGCAGCGCCTCTGCAGGCAGACAGTGACTAGACCCCCTTCTTGCTGGGCAGGGCATCTCTGAAAAAAAGCGGTAGCCCATCAGGGACCTATTTAAAAAAGCTCCTACCTTCCTGGAACAGAGCACCTGGGGAAAGGGTGGTTGTAGGTTCTGCTTCAGCAGACTTAAATGTCCCTGTCCAGCAGCTCTGAAGGGAGCAACAGATCTCCCAGCACAGCACTTGAGCTCTGATAAGGGACAGACTGCTTCCTCATGTGGTTCCCTGACCCCCATTTATCCTGACCAGGAGACACGTTATACAGGAGAGCTCTGGCTGACATCTGGCAGGTACCCTTCTGAGACGAAGCTACCAGAAGAAGGAACAGGCAGCAATCTTTGCTGTTCTGCAGCCCTTACGGGTAATTCCCAGGCAAGCAGGGTCTGGAGTGGACCTCCAGCAAACTCCAGCAGACCTGAAGCAGAGGGGCCTGATTGTTAGAAGGAATACTAAAAAACAGAAAGAAATAGCTTCAAATCAACAGAAAGGACATCCACTCAGAGACCCCATCCAAAAGTCACCAGTTTCAAAGACCAAAGGTAGATAAATCCACGAAGATGGGAAGAAACCAGGACAAAAAGGCTGAAATCGTCAAAACCCAGAACACCTCTTCTCCTCCAAGGGATCACAATTTCTCAACAGCAAGGGAACAAAACTGGATGGAGAATGAGTTTCATGAATTGACAGAAGCAGGCTTCAGAAGGTGGATAATAACAAATTTTCCTAGCCAAAGGAGCATGTTCTAACCCAATGCAAGGAAACTAAGAACCTTGAGAAAAGGTTAGACAAAATGCTAACTAGAATAATCAGTATAAAGAACATAAATGACTTGATGGAGCTGAAAAATCAAGAGTGTCTACTCTAGAATGGGGGAGGGTGGTTCATGACAGAGTAGGTCCCAAAGGTGTTTCCAGGAGGCTGTGACTGCTGTACTTTGATATGGGTGTTGTTTGCCTGAGTGTTCACTTAATGAAAATCCACTGCCTGCTTGTGGATTGTCCCCTTTTCTCCATGCATGCTGTCCTTCACTCAGATATACATTTCTGGTGTTTTCAAGCAATTCTATCTACAGTAAGAAGAATCACTTCTACAGTAAGAAGAATCACTTCTACTTGGAAATGCTGCATTGAAAAAAATTGCTGCATTTTTTTTTCATTCCAGGAAATAAATACATATAAAGAGGAGAATCTACAACAAGAGCAATAGGCTTGGGTGCTGACACCAGAATAGCTTTTGTAATGGCTGTGGAGCCAAGAACTAGGAATCAAAATCCAAACAGTCCCATGAAAGGTGGAGGATGTGAAATGATGCCCCAGTAGTGCATGAATGAATGAGTCATGGGCAGTGGCTTATGGCTTGGCTGGCCAGTCACCAACTTGAAGAAAACAGAGTTGAAAAATTGGGAGGTGGAGGAGAGAGGTACACATAGACCTCCTGCTATAGGCAGAGTGTGTGAAGATAGTGCTTGTATGTGGATGCCTACCAGAGGGTCTTTACAGGGTGGAGCTCCCTGTAATAAGGTGGGCGAGATGGCTTGATGGATGAGGCCACTCAGCCACAGAGGACTTGCTCATGGAGTCTCTACACAAAATGGCCATGATGGCTGGGATGGACACTGCATGGGCACAGCAATTGAGTCAACACTCACCAAGGATGACCTGGCAGCTGCCACTGTTGAGGGCCCAGTGTGCCAAAAGCAGCTGTGTCTTTGGATGAAAAAATAAATCAGGCAATGATAATTAAGAATCAAACAGCATTATGACAGATAAATATGCCAATAAAGATATAGTACAGGTTAAAATAATTGTGAAACTATGAACAAGATTACGTCAATGGGAAGAACTTACTACAAGTAAAGAAGTTAAAATGGTTGTAGAACTTTATTTCCCCTCATGCGTATCCAGAATGTTTTACAGATAAGTTCTGCCAAAACTTAGAAGAAGGTTACTGAACTTATACATAATATTCCAGAGAATGAGGAAACGTGGAGAAAGTGAGTGAACTCATTATTGTTTATGCATAAATCACATAGATTCTAAAGCCAGCTAGCAAATACATAAGAGAAAACCATGATAGGATAATCACTTCTAAGCAACTAGATGCAAAAATACTGAGATAAATGGTAGTAGACTGTGTTCACCAATGAGCTATAAGCAAATTAAATATCCTGCCCAGGTTATGAATCCCAAGAATACAAGAATATTTAAACTTTAACTCTGTAATGCAACTTACCACTTAATGAAAGAATAAAAGACAGAGATGATCACATTTCACTAGATGCAGAAACTACTGCAGATGAAATCCACACTCCCTCTCACCCACATTTCTTCAGTTATCTCCACTTTTAATAACTTGTGATCAGTGCTCGCTTTGGCAGCACATAGATTAAAAATGGAACAATGAAGGGAAGATCAGCATGTTCCCTGCACAAAGGTGACACACAAATTTTTGAAGCATGCCATATTTTTAAACTCTCAGTAAATTAGGTATTGAAGAAACATACCTCAAAACAATAAAAGCCAGCTATGGCAAGCCCATAACCAATATCATACTGAATGGGCAAAAGCTGGGAGCATTCCCCTTTAACACTAGCACAAGACAAAGATGCCCTCTCTCATCACTCCTATTCAACATAGTGTTAGAAATTCTGGCCAGTGCAATCAGGTAAGAGAAAAAAAGGATATTCAAACAGGAAGAGAAAAAGTCCAATTGTTTTTGTTTGCAAATGGCACGATCCTATATCTAGAAAACCCAATTGTCTCAGCAGAAAAGCTTCTTAAGCTAAGAAATAACTCCAGTAAAGTCTCAGGATACAAAATCAGTGTGCAAAAGTCTCCTTCTGCCTTAAGCCCCCTAAGCTTTCATCAGATTAGGGTCTCTCTCCCCTCATTATAGCCACTCCCTGTGGGCCGCAGGCCATTCCTCTCAATTCTTTTTTTTTTTTTTTTTTTTTTGAGACAGAGTCTCGCTCTATTTCCAGGAGCCAGGCTGGAGTGCAGTGGTGCGATCTCCGCTCACTGCAAACTCTGCCTCCCACGTTCAAGCAATTCTCCTGCCTCAGCCTCCCAAGTAGCTGTTACTACAGGTGCACGCCACTACGCCCAGCTAATATTTGTATTTTTTAGTAGAAATGGGGTTTCCCCATGTTGGCCAGGATGGTCTTGATCTCCTGACCTTGTGATCTGCCTGCCTCGGCCTCCCAAAGTGCTGGGATTACAGGTGTAAGCCGCGGATACCGCGGCTTCGGAGCGCAGGTCCTAGTTCATAGAGATGTAATTTTTGTCGTCGTAGGCGAACTGGAGATACCCGAGGAGGAAGCTCCCATCCGGCCCCACATCGCAGCCAATCATCCACTGGATGGTGTGAGGCCCTGGCCGGTCCCCGAGGTCAGCCCCGCCCACCAAGCACGGCCCCCGATCGGACCAACCCGCGGGCAATTTGGCCTAAACTGAAAATGAAACCGGGTAAAGGCGCCTGGAGCTCTCCTGGGTCGAGGATCTGGGCGGGTCCCGCAGCCCCGGGGTGGACCTCGGACCCGGAGACTCTGGGGGACCCGGGCTGTCCGTGGGGATGGGAGGGGTCGCTCACCGGCCTCGCTGTGGTTGTAGTTGCTCTGGTTGTAGTAGCCGCGCAGGATCCGCAGGTTCCCTCGGAAAGTCTGTGCCTTGGCCATGGCTCTCCGCGTCTCCCGGTCCCAATACTCCTGCCCCTCCTGCTCTACCCACGGCGCCCGCGGCTCCATCCTCGGACTCTCGCGAGTCCCCCCACGAACTGCGTGTCGTCCACGTAGCCCACGGCGATGAAGCGGGGCTCCCCTTAGCTGGGCCGTGACAAGGCAGTGCCGAAATACCTCAGGGAGTGGGGAGCCTGGGGACAAGGAGAGGCTGAGACCCGCCCGACCCTCCTCCCGGCGCCCCTGAGGCCCCGCCAGGCGGGCCCCTGGCTCCTCCCAGCAGAGGCCATTTCCCTCCCAACCCCGCACTCACCCGCCCTGGTCTCGGTCAGGTCCAGGGTCCCCGAGAGCAGTAGGAGGAGTGTTCGGGGCACCACGACCCCAGCCTCAGTGTCTGGGGAGAATCTAAGTCCCGGTGAGTACGTGGGGATTGTCTTCTCTAGAAACCCGATACCCAATGGGAGTGGGAACTGGGGTCGCCTGGTGAGTATCCTGGAAGAAGGACCGACACAGGTTGGGAGAAGTAGTGAAACACATGGAAGTGGGGAATCCACAACGCTGCACCTCCCCAAAGCAGACGCAGCCCTTGGAGCCTGACACCCTGAGACCCACGCCTAGGAGCTGGGACTTTGTCGGGATTCCTCACAAGCCTCTTTGTCACACTGATTGCATGAGTCCTGACCAAGGATCTGTCTATGGAAACCAGGGAGAGGCAGAGACTCCAAGGCTGTGCCCATCACTTTTCCTCCTGGAATTCCTGACCCTGGACTGGACTCCCAGCCTCCCATTCCTTACCTCTCCCCCTCTCTTGTACATGGAGACTCACCACGGGAAACTTGATGCCAGAGAGTGAGCTCGCCCTGGGAATGGAGGCGTAGAGACAGGGGTTTTCTCTTTAAACCTGGTGAAGCAGCTTTAATCAGTTGCCCCCTTCTGTCTGGAGAAAGTCTCTTTCCTCCTTAGAGTAAGTAGGTATTAGATCAAGGGTATGGGGAATCAGCGGGGCTATAACTGTTATTCAGTAGGGGGCAGATGCTGCCTTATGAACTGCTGAATCCACTCAGGAATTTCCCAGGGCCACAGATGTTCCCACTGATGTCCTCGGCAATGCACGACCGCCACCCTCTGGGGCTTCCAGACTGCTTCTAGCAGCTGCAAAATTTCATGCTGCTACTTTATTTCTTTTCGCCCTGAAGTTAACAGGCCTCTCTCTCTTTGTACAGTGCTCCATGTACTTGGAGAGTCAGGAAGGCATATTGAGAGTCAGCATAAATGTTTACAACCTTATCTTTACTCAGCTCTAAGGCTTGAGTTAAAGCAATGAGTTCAGCCTTCTAAGCTGAGGTGCCCTGAGGCAGGGATCTGGCCTCATTTACAGTGTCCAGAGTGACCATGGCGTAGCCTGCACGTCTTTCCGCTCTTGGATTGACTAAGCTGTTCCCATCCACATACAACTCCCAGTCTACCACTGTCCATGGCTGATCCCAAAGATCAGGCCTGCTGGAATAGACTATGTCCAAGACTTCAACACAGTTGTGTTCAACCAGACCCTCTGACATTGGGAGCAAAGTGGCGGGGTTTAAGGTGTTGCAGACTTCAATGGTGATGCAGGGATTTTCACATAGCAGGCCCTTTCATTTGGTCAGCCTAACATTTGATAACCAGTGGTGCCCTCTGATATTCATTAGAGTCACTACCCCATGAGGTGCCTTGATATTTAATTTCTGCCCCAGAGTTAGCTTAACTGCTTCTTGTGCTAGCAGAGTAGTTGCCGCCAGGGCCCTTAAGCATGGGGGCCATCCTTTGGAAACTCCATCCAGCTGCTTGGAGAGGTAAGCTACAGCCCTGGGCCAAGGTCCTACTGTTTGGACTAGGACCCCAACTGCCACTTTTTCTCTTTCTGCCACATATAATGTGAAGAACTTCATTAAATCAGGCAGCCCCAAAGCTGGAGCTGACATTAGTTTCGTTTTCAGTTCCTGATAGGCCTGACGCTGCTAGGATCTCCATTCAAAGAGTTCCTTGTCTCCCAACTTTGTCACATCATAGTGGAGTTTGGTTAGTACTGTGAAGTATGGAAATCCACAATTTACAAAACCCACCACTCCCAGGAGCTCTCTCAAGTGACTTGCTTCCTCTTTGCTTCTAGGCTGTGTTCCCCCTTCTGGATGATGAGCCTCAGATATTGCATTTGCTTTTTTGGCAAATCTGGGCTTTCCTTTTAGACACTTTATACCCACAGTCCTCCAGGTGCTGGAGTAAGGCATTTGTTTGCACACCCAACTGCCGTGGGGTGTCCCAATAGAAGGTTATTAGCATACAGGGGCAGCATGCAAGCAAGAAGCTTCTGGGGGGTGGTCACATGCTGATGCCTCTCCAAGGATAATCAGAGAGTTTCTGATCCCCTGGGAAGCTGGGTCCAGGTGTATTGAGTGGTTACACCTGTTTCTGGGTTTCTCCCATTGAAATGCAAATAGTTTTTGACGCTCTGAGGCCAGTCCAATGCTAAGGAGGTATTCTTTAAGTCCAATTAAGTGAACCAACTAAACCCTGCTGGCAAAAATCCCAACTGTGTGTATGAGTTGGGTGTAAAGCCATGCAAACCCTGCAAAGGTGATAATATCAGTCCTCTGCTTCTGGCCAGGAAGTTTCCACCCTCCTTCCCAAGGGACAATGAGAGCCTGGATGACCCCTGCCTGAGGCATTTTTAGCTGCAGGGAATCTCTTTTGTTGAATAGGATAGTGGCCCTTGATTTGCACAACAGGTTTTGCCAGAGAAGGGGGGCAGGGGCAGTCCATTAAGTACAAGAAAGTCTGCTCTCTTAACACCTTAATAGCTCTAAAAACATTGGTTACAAGGCTGTCATCTGGACCGTGGGCTCTTTGGGGGCATATGAGTCCAGACCCCTCTCTTTTAGTCCAGTTGTTGCATTGAACTTAGCACAGAAAGTCAACACCAGAACAAAAGTATGCCAAATTGCAGGGTTTTATTGCCGGCGACCACGGAGGACTCACATCTCTCCAACCCGTGGCAGAGAAAGAAGAGTGACAAGACCTTTTTATACCCACAAAACCACCTTGGGAGTGGGGGTGAGGAGCGGAGATGGGAATGAAAGCTGTCAATCACCTCCTAGGCTGAGACAAGGGTGAGGGGGCTCCAGATATTCCAAGGGCCAGGGGACTTTTGTCATTCCGATTGCCACCTAAGTGGTTTACAGAGGTCAAGATAAACATTAGTTTATACATTATTTGGACAGGTGTGGGGTCCACATAATTTTAGGTTACTTGGCGCCAGGATGGAATTATCTGGGGGTGCTTACTTTGCTAAGCAAAGGCCAGCAATTCTGGCAGTTACAGATAAGAGAAAGTATGCAGCTTGTCCTCTCTTTGCATTTTGCAAGGTAATCTTAGTAGTTTACAGAAGCCATGGCTGGCAGTCATTGTGAGGAGAATGGAAACAGTTTTCCCATTTTAAAATGGCATTGTACTGGTTCTAATTCTAGGCCAACTATATCACACAGTGGCCCTTCCATTAGATTGAACAGAGCCCCTTCACTTTTATCTGGATCCTCATGCTTAGGATAGCCCTGTTCTCCCATTAACTGTGGACATTATTTTTTCTTCCAATATCCTATTTCTTGACAAAATGCACCCTGATCGCATTGCAGGCGCGGGCGGGCAGACTGTGGGGCTTTCCAGGAACCCCCCTTTTTCCACGCTCTTGGGGGCATTCTTCTCATAGAGCAGCTATCAAGTTGGCCTTCCATTGAGCCTGATGTTCCCTTTCGCTATGATTTTCCCTCTGGCTTACTGCCTCTTGGTTACAAATACCTGGTTAGCTACTTCCAATAAGTGAAGTATTCATGCATGCAAATCCTGCCCGTTTCTGCCACTGAATTTGCCTGGACTTGAGAATCTGCATTTCTCGGTGGTGAGGGGGATAGTGGTTTCTAGCAGTTTGTCCCCTGACTACTAAAACAGTTGCTGCCTTCTCTCTTAGCCACTTCGGAGGGTTTAACACTAACTGCAGCCATGAGTCTAGGTATGGAAATTGAGGTGTTCTAGTTCACCGTATATAACCTCATGCCTTACTTTGGAGACAAGGGACCTGTCTAGGGTCCCCTCTGGGGGCCAGCTTACCCTAAATGCTGGCTAATCTTTCCTACATAAAGCCCTTAATTTCTCTGGTGTCATAGTTACTTTATAATGCCCACTAAATCCCTTCTTTTAATTTTTCAGCATGGTTTCTAAAGGGCTGAGCTTGCTATGGGAGCGATCCATATTAACACTTCAAAGAAATAATTCCCACAGTTAGGAGAGTGTTAGTTCACTTACAGCAGTTCCTGCCTAGCAAGACGCAGCACAGAGCACTCTCCGATTTACATTCTTCAATCCTTTTACAATGCCCAGCTGCTTCTTCATTCAGCCTAATGTGGCTGTCTCTAATTCTTACAAATTGCTGGGCGCATAAGGCCCTTCCTAATGGGCCCAACACCTTTTATGACTAATGAGTTTGGTTGGACACATCTACACACAGACACACATCCAATTGCTCTTCGTCCAATTCAAAACCATAAGCAAAAGCTTCCAAGGTTACAGAGAGAGCGATCGTCAAAACTGCCGATCTGGCACCCATGGGTGATCAGGTCGTGCTTCCACCCAAAATGGGGGAGGCTACTTTCCCGGGTTCAATCTTACCAAATTCAGTGGTCCAGACTTCCCCAAATACTTGTTCCTCCTCGGTGTTCAGTCACTGGGTGGATCCACACTGCAGGGCCTCCCTGCTCTGCTCTGGTGAGGCTTTTCCACTAGGCAAATACCTGCCCAGGAACACTCTCAGGATGCATCACCCCAGCGAGCAGGAGTCCCCCTGCAGGGATGCGCCACAGGGCTAGGCAAACTACCTAAGAGACTTTTTCCCACCGTCTGCTATCCAAGACTCACTTCCCAGCCAACGCACCAAAAATGCAGCCAGAGCGGCCATGGGAAATGGATCTCTGGGACACCGAATACAGGAGGAAGGACGGTTTATTCAGCCGGGAGCAAGGTGGCATAGTTGCCTAAGAGCCAAGCTCCCCTAACAAAAGAAGGTTCCATCTTTATATAGGCTTATACTTTAGAGGTTACACATGGAAGAATCTTAGGTTTATAGCTTCACATATGAAAAGGGTCTTGGTTTACAGTCTCAGGAATTACATATGAAAAGGGTTTTGGTTTACAGCCTTAGGAATTACATATGAAAAGGAACTTGGTTTACAGTCTCAGGGATTACATATGAAAAGGATTTCAGTTTACAGTCTTAGAAATGAAAAAGGGAAGTTGATCTGAGATGCCTGGGTCTCCCTCTTCAATAGAATTTAACATGTATGCTGCATGCAGAAGCTGGCATTTTATCTTTATAGTTTACAAGTCCCTTAGAATGTTTTACACTTTTGGCCACATTACTAAACACAAGAATGTTTTCAGCTCAATCTACCTGAGCTACATGGAGA